TACTCAAATATTCCCTGATTTGATCCTCATCCACTGCCTGTAGTTACCCTCCTCCTTTAACTGGAGGCCTGAGAAACCCTGTCAGAGCAAACTGAGGCAAGAAGGCACTGAAACCTTAACAGTGTAAATTGTGACTGAATTACTCACCTCATTCACTTATTTTCATTTTTTCAGCCTTTTGCTATTAATGCAGCAGTAGAAGCAGTTCTTGTTGCCTTTCATTTTCCTTACAAATCTTATATATAGTTGAGGTTTGGCTTTCCTAACATCTCCTTCACAGGCTCAGGTAACTTTTTTAAATTGTCTGATTTGCAGCTTTTTCCTGTTTTATCGTCAGTATACTGCATTTTTCTCTGGAACTCAGCCATGAATTTACTCTGACCCCAGCTGGCTTCCTAACACATCTACATGCTTTCCTGAATTTCAGAGTGATCCATTCTTGTAGTTGAAGGAGATTTTTCTCTAGGCTTTACTCCATTTTTCTAAGAGATTTTGTTATTGTACATAAACATGATCTGGGAAAATAATTTAAAGAATGTCCACTTTGCTATGAGAATTGACACAAATATTTTAAAGCATTTTTATAATTGAAATTTTTAAATGTTGAAAAGTTAATGTATGAGTTTTGTTCTATTTCAATCAGTTTCAGATTTTATTCTAATGCCATTATTAAATTAGCTTTCTGGAGGAAAATGTTATTAACACTGTTATATACTAAACTCTCTCTTCTTGCAAGAGTGACCAAATTGTAACAAGTTATTATTTGAGTTGCGCTGTGCTTTACTGTCAGCAGCAAAATCAATGGCATTTGCAAGAAAAAGTATAACGTAACATGTAATAACTGGCTCTGTTACACCTTCCATAACTGGTAATATAAAAATGTGCATATTTGTTGTGCTGTTTTAATAGCACACATAAAGTTACCTCACACCTGAGAAGTGAAAGAAAGTTTTGGCAGCAACACCAGCAGGAATATTAGCTATCTGAAACATAATCCTGAGCTCTGGCAGGACGTCTTGGATGGTGAGAGGTAAAATGTGGCGTAGTGCAGCAACGTCTGAGCCAGACTTTCAACAATTGCGGCCGCAGGCAATGTGCTATGTGCCATTTCACATCTTAACAGTATGTGCAATTGTCATCTGTATTTAGTATCTGTATTTAGTGTCATCTGTGTTTAGTGAGGAAAACATTGATAAATACACAGTATCTGGAACTCACTGTCACAAGGAACTCACTGTCATAGTTTTGATTTTTCTACTCATCTGAAACGGACATCACCAACTTTTTCATCTTCAGACAAAGTCCTCTAATACTGAGTTCAATGAAATGAGACAATGAAGACAACGAAAATATACCTGTAGTTATCTATTTTAACATGGCCCATAACTAAGTGTTTTGCTGTGTTAATTGCATCAAATTCCTTCTAAGAGGTGTCATGAGGCATCTCTGTCAATTTTAGTAGTGCAGGCATTTTCTCTGCTGAGCTCCAGCTGCAGCTCCTTACCTTTGAAACCGACCCTCACTCAACTCCAATGTTGCACTCACTAAGAAGTGTGGGCAAAAGTACTGGAGGAAGGTTTGCTTTAGTACTGCTATGAGCAGTAAGTTAGGGTCAGCGAGTGTAACAGCAAGAACACAGGAAACATTCAGTAACACCACCATTCATGATTCTGGCTCCTTATTGAACTAGGGGATTTTTATTGTTTTTTATAAACGTTTTGTATATGCACTAGGCTAATAAAATTCAGTCTGTGCCTCTGAGTATTTTGGAGTTATGATTCAATACACAAAGATGCATTATTTGACACTTTACATGGCATTGCCAAACTGTTGTATTGTACAGTTACTGAATATTGTTTCTTCTTACTACATACAGCATGGTCTCTTTTGCTTTGTTTATTGAAAGGCAAGTAAAACAAAGTATACTACTTATACACTGCAGGCAATGATATTTTTTTAATTTCATTTTTTAATATTGTTCTCTCAAAAACCCCAAAAATATCTGCACTAAGATGAAGCATTACAGACTTCAGGCTTCCTTCTCTGGGAAAGGTATGAGAATACAAATAAAATATAATTAACTAATTTGTCCTCTGAAATGTAAATTATTGCATAAATGCTCTATTGCATTAACAGAGTAGATCTAGAGACATCAAACTGTTCAGTTTCTGCTCTTTTGTGTTGCTACACACAGAGATAACAATCTCCCAACTTAAGTTAAGAATAGCTGGAAATAAATGGGAAATACATCCATTACTGTATTATTGTGGCAAGCTTTATTTAATTTTGTTACATTACCTACTCAGATATAGATTCAGAAAATATGTAATTACATAAATGCACATTGTGAACCAGTATGACCATGTGATTAACATTATTAAAGGAGGTGTTGCTACCCTGACATTATTACATGTATGTCTTTTTAGATCTTGTCCGTAGAACGCAGACAAATATGCAGGCTTAAAAAACCCAGAGTGTACATTTGTTACCTTTGCTCTTCCAGGATTTTATGTAATGTCAGCAATGGTATGAAAGAAAGAGAGGGAATAAAAAGCTAATGAAACTTCCACTACTATTGCACACACAAACTACTGTTAATTTGAGACATGAACAAAACATTTCTTACTGCATGCCAGGTAGATCCTGCAGTGAGCTCAGATTTTTCTAGCAGAACAACATCCTTCAAGCCAGCTTTAGCCAAGTGATAGGCTAGACTCACACCAACACAACCACCTCCGATGATCACTGTGTCTGCTCTGTCTTTCCCTAAGGAAGGAGATGAGGCTTCTTTACTAAAAAAAAAGAAAAAATTACAGACAGTTAGAAAAAGTCAATTACACTTTTCCCCATTTCTTTTATTTACAGCTTCAACCATAATACACATGGGTTTCTGCTTGGGAGTTTACACACATAGCTTAAGACCTAACCTCTTCACTCACATCTGCTTTTAAAGTAAATGCTGTTTCAGGGTCATATAGGTAAATAGTAACAATAAAAAGAAAAAAAAAAAACAACAAAACCAGAAAACAACAAGTTTGCTGCCATTTGCAACTTTAAATATTATTTATCCAATATACCCTTATATGTAGATCTTATTTCTCAAAAAGAAGCTGATGCATAACATGACAATGTCAAAACTCGACTTTTCCAAAGTACTGTAGTATGTGCAACAAATAGGCTTTAAAAATACTTACTTAGTAAGGCCCCTTAATAAATTTCTAAAACCAATGTCAGTAGACTATGTCAGTGTACATGTTCATGAAGAAAAAAGCTTGATACTTACTTTCATGTTCTGTCTATTTTGCCACATTCACAGATTCACAGAATATTCTGAACTGGATGGTACCCACAATGATCATCAAGTCCAACTTCTAAGTGAATGGCCCATGCAGAGATTGAATTCACAACCCTGGTGTTATTGGCACCATGCTCTAAACAACTGAGCCATTCCCAGAGTAGGCATCTCCTACTTTGCTTAAGACAAAACGTTACAGAAACAGGTTTTTGTCAATGGCCCACACCTGCTCCACACTTCCAAAACTACTTGATTCAGCATAAATCACAACTGCTGCCAGAAACAGCCCTATTCTTCTGCAATTCAAGTGATACTCCTCTTTACTGCCTCATTCACAGACAGCCAAGCAGCAAGCTATATCTGGAAATCTATCACAAATTTTTAAGAAGTCAATTTTTTTTGGATGTGAGACAAGGTAGCACATGTTATTACAGCAGCAGAACAGGCTACCATGAAACAAGAGTATCTTTCTCTTCAGTTAATCTATACTCAATTTTATCTCTCCTCTCCTCGTACACTTTCAACTTCTCAGGCAACAGACTTTCTAATGTATAACTAGTCTTCTACACCTCCCACTCAGAAATAAAGGCTACTAGTTTTATGTCTTATGAGTGGAGATCTTATAACATTTTAAATGCAATTGCGGTGGAACATGCACCATGTTTACACAGTAAGTGGTGGCAAATGAGAAGTAAAATAAGTGGGAGCACAGGACACCATAGGTGTTCTGTATTTGGTGCACCACACACCTGCATGGGTTCTTTTTTCTGATTACATATTAATTTTTGCAAGTTAACAGTAAGCTGTTTAACAGCCAGATGTGCGACACTTACACCAGCTTCTCTACTGAATTTGGAGGCATATGGTAATCAAGGTCAAGCATAAAGACTTTTCTTATTGTTCTTTTAAGCTGCGGATTTTAAATCTTCTCATGCGCCTTTCAGCTTTTTTCAAACCTTTGCCCAGAAGCCCAGCAAGAATTCGCGGTTCACCTTCCCAGTGAACTGAACAGGTCACTCAGATGCTTGATCGTGCCAGTTAAAACCGGTCATTATTTGCTTATCGGTATGGCCCAGAAGACAACAGAAGGGACCTCGCTACTCCAGGTCAGCAACGCACCCGGGCTGGTTCCGGCTTTGGCGCAGCAGTGCGAGGCGCAGAGAGGCACCTCCTGGCCACAGGTGCCCCAGCCGGAGCTGGCTCCCGTCACCAGCGCCCTTTCTGCGCATCCCGGACAGCAGCGGCGCGGAGCCACTCGCGGACGGCCGCGACCGCGACCGGCCCCTCTGCCCGCGTCCCCCGCCCGGCCCGGCGCCGCAGCCGCCGCAGCGCTCCCCGCAGCACCGCGCTCATCCCGCACACGCAGCAGGGATGGAGAGCGCTGGCCCCGCGCCGCTCTCCGCCGCGTCCCGTCCGTCCCTGCCCCGCCGAGCCCGGCCCTCCCGGAGGAGGGCGCCGGACCGCCCCTTGGAGCAGGGGGCAGCCGGGGGGGGGCTGCCGGGGGGGCAGCCGGATGCCTCCGGACCTCGGGCGGGGCAAGGGCGGCGGGAGGGAGGGAGCGGGGCTGCCCCGGTCGAACCGGAGCGCCCCGCGGGGTCAGGGGCCGGGCCGGGCGGGGGCACGGCCCGCAGCGCTGCCCACAGCGTCCCGCCTCCTCCCGGGGCTATAAACCCGCGGCCGGAGAGCCCGGGAGTCCAGTATCGCGCCGAGCCGTCGGGGCGTAGCCGTGCAGCCAGCGTCCTTGGGCGAGGAAGATGCTGCCGATCAGGAAGACCGCGAAACAGGGCAAAAGGGTAAATCTCCCGTCTCCCTCCCTTGCGCAGACCCGGCCGCTGCTCCCCGTGGGCACGGCAGACGCGCCCCCGGGGCGGTGCCCTCCGCGGCTCGGCGGGACGGGGCGGCGCGGGGGAGCAGCCCCGCGCCGGGAGCCTGGCCCCGGGAACAGCTCCCGGCCGCCTCTCCCGCCGCCGCGGGCTCTGCAGGAGAGCTGCTTCTTGACCGGCACAGCCCGCGGCTCCCGCCGGTTAACCTCCCTCTAAGGTACCCGGTATCTCTGCAGGTAAGGCGATCTTGTGAAAACCTGAAATAAAGCCGTAGTAGTTGTACCTGTTCAGCATCGAGACGTTAAGGATATTTGGACATCGTTGTAAGACAGATAAATTAGATTGATCTTAACGCAGTCACAGCTCACATAATCTTTGTTTCTCTGAGCACACGGAGTGAAGCCAACAGAGTACAAATACATTTATTGTATTATTTGATACGCAAATTAAGCAGGACTTGCAACACACTGCAAATTAAAATAGTAAATATTTTAAGGCTAAGCTGTCATTGGATGAGATATCTGCCTCCAGCATCCTGCCTGCTCTGTTTAAAAGGTCCAGATTGCTCACCCCTTGATTAATATGACTGGTGTTTATAATATCAACCCAAAAGTCTTTGTATGCATGCCCACTCCTCCCCCATTTAGCTAAAGAAATAAGCCAGTATAAAAGTAATCCAGGCACCAGCCATTCATGTCATTAAGGCAAACCTATGAGCAATCTCTAAGTCAAACTCCCTGACATACATCAGAACTGGTACCCTGTGCTGCTGCTTGGGTCAGCAGAATCACGTATTCTGTTGTCTGTTTAAAGGACACTATTGCCATTAGTAGGGCCCACCTTTCTCAGAATGGGTTTTACTCATTTTTTTGTCTAGAGCAAAAGAGCAGAAAGATATGGAAAGTCTATGCGCTCTAGGTCCTACTGGTAGATTGATTATAAAAGAAGAAGGTGTGGGGTATTTGTTCTGCTTTTTACATTTTGGCATAAACTACCTAATTTCAACACCTAGAAGAAATTTTTCCTACAATGGACTTGTGGAGTTCTCTTTAGGGCTTGAGATGTGAATAGTTGTTTCAAGATTTATTTTCTCTCCACTGAAGAAAAGGTGGATTATAGGTTGACCAAGCAGGCTTTTCACTCACACAGTACAGTTACATGCCTAAAGATGTTAGTAGGAATATCTTCATAGAGGCATTTGCACTCACGCTTTCCATGTATAGGTGTACGGACCATGTGATGCAACTTCATTCATAGTAGCAAAAGTAAAGCAGCAAAAGATGGCTCAAAAAAACCTTGGATAGCTTTTTACATATACTGTTTTTTTGTAATTTAACACATTTTTTGTCTCCTACCAGATCATCTGACAGTACAGTATTGATCTGGATTAGACATAAGCGCACAGCAGTAGGTCTCTGAACAAAACAATGTTGATGCTGAATTTTGGTTAAATAGGTGGTATTTTGAATGGTATATAAAGTAAAAATGGTGTGAAGGGAAGAAAGCAGACCTATAATGAAGTCTGCAAAAAGGTTATTTCCATTTGAATCCAGCATGACCTGACAAAACTAAGGTTTTATTAAGTATTTTGTGCTTTGTATTTATCTTTCCTGCCATTAGATACCCTGGTGCTAGTCTTAATATATCACAATATGTTAATGTGCCATGGTCTATTCAAACATGGCTTATGTTTCTTCTGTGTGTCAAAAGTGAAGATTTCCATTTCAAAATGAAATAGACTGTGAAGAAAAACTGCTATTAAATACTAGAAGTGACTTGTTAAAAGAAAGTTCTGTTGTAGTACATTTAAATACATAATAACAAATATAATACTTATATACTATGTGATTTTGTGTCTATTACTCAGTGTTCCATTAAAAAACTACTAAGGCTGCCTTTACATTAAAGATTTCTTTTTCTTCTGCACACCTGTTCTCTGCATAACAAATTTCTGAAGCAGGCTTCATCTACAAAAGATTCTTTGGCAGACAGAGGAAGCACGGACTCAAGCAGTGAGCTTTTGCTGGCTCCATTTGAGACATTTTGTTACAAATTAAAGTTGGTTTATTGCAAGCACAATCTTTACAAAACCTCCTGACATTTACTTATGTTTCTTCCTGGTTGTGGAAACAAAGATAAAAATTTGCGCACTTTGTTGAAGTTTTAAAGTCGAAGTTCAATATTTTGGCAAGTCCGTAGTATGCAATGGAATCTGATGCAGAGATTTGCAGGCCAACACTTGGCAAAGCTGTGCACAGCAGCACTGAACAGACCAGTCCTGCCATTTTGCTGCAATGCCAGTGCCTCAGCCAAAGTAAGTGACGGTCTCAGCCAGGCTTTGTAGCCTCCAAGGAGCCTTACACTGTTGTGCATGGTGCTGAAACTGGCACAGCTGGCACACTGCTCCTTACTGTAGGAAAGGCCTTGTTCTTGTTCTGCCTAAGCAGCAGTGCTGAGACGTCGTAAGTGTTCATCTTTGTTGGATATATGGCATGAGAGAATTGTATTAATGGGAAGGAAATTTTCAAGAAAGATAATAACTGGAGTTTAAAGGCTAATTGTAAAAAAAACCTGTCTATTCAACATGAAAATCACACTCAACTCTATATCCAAAAGGCTTTTCTTTTTCCTACTCCCTCAAACTTCTTCTGTTGAAATGAAGAAAACTATGGATGGAAATTTCAGTCTTACCCTTGACTAATTCTTATCCTGTACTCACTACCTTCATATATGTAGTCTGCATTCAACCACTTTTTAATGTAGATGGAATTATGATTGCCATCCAAGAGTAGAAATCGACCCTACTCTAATAGTAGGTACTTTTTAGAAGTTTTGAACCAGTCAATGAAGCAATTATAGGAATAAAAATGCAATGTATTTTAGGAGAAGCCAGTATTTGTTCTCATGTTTTTCAGTTTTACAAAAAAAGATAATTGCCACTTTCCTTGCATTAGCGTGGCAGGGAGAAGCAAGGTTAATCTTGCATAGGGTTTTGTAAGGTTTGTAATTTGGCACTCTAAAACATTTTCAGGGCCATGCAAAACAAACAGGATTTTCTTTCATTTTTTTAAATCTGGGTAAGCCAACCCAGGCCTGTGAAAAGACTGTCAGAAACTGCAAGTCAGCTTTCTGAGATGTGTCTTGTTTGGTAGGAAACTGTTGCATGCTTACTTTTATGTGATGCCTGTTGTGCCATCTGGAGTCACAAGCTGCTTGTGGTAAGGCTCTGTGAAGGTGGCATTGGAAGCTAGAGAGCTGATAAGCTAATAATGAAGAGATCAGTGGTACCAGTGTCTTATTTTAAGCAGTTCTCATGTATTTTACAGGAGAATTTGAGATGGCGTATTACTTTCATAGGAACAGAACTGGACCACTGACTGACAGTTCTGGAAACAATATCTCTGGAATACAATATAACTAACTAATAAGAAGTCTTACACATAATATATGTGTGCATATTAAAGCCTTATGCTGCAAAAGAGCACATCTACGGTTCTTTAATTAGAATTTTACAAAGGAAATTTATTACTTTTTATTATTGTGGCAAAAATATTTCTGCTAGCTCACAGATATTTGTCTGCCTTGCAAATACAGAAAATAGCCACCAAACTGAAGAACTGTAATTGTTAACCTGCCCTCATGCTTTCTCCAGGGTATTCTAGAACGCTTGGATGCTGGAGAAATTGTGATCGGAGATGGGGGATTTGTCTTTGCTCTTGAAAAGAGGGGATATGTAAAAGCTGGGCCTTGGACTCCTGAAGCAACTGTAGAACATCCAGAAGCAGGTTAGTTTTACTGGGAAATGATATTCCTATAGTGAATGTAAACAATGTAATGGTTGGGTAAATACTAAATATATAGGAACTCTTAGTAGATTTTTAAATACAAGTGTTCCTTGACACTGTAGAATTACATTAAGAACAGCCTAAAACCAGCTCATCTTGCCTGTTTTACTTGCTCTAACACTGGCCAAAATCAGTTGGGTCTGTAAGAATATGAGTAGTGCAAACATCTACCGATACCTCTTCAGAATGCTCTCCTAGTTTTCAATAACGTGCATCCCAGGGACTCTTTCATGCAGATGTAGTTATACTTGTGTTTAATAACATTCAGTGATTTCTCTCTCATGGATTTGTCTGGTCTGTTCTTGCACTGATCATTTAAAGCTTGTCATTTAAAATATCTTACAAAAATGAATTCTGCAGTTAACTATCTGTTTTGTTTTGTTCTAGTCATTCATTTATATTTATAATCTAAAATATTTTTTATTCTTTCAGAGAAATGGCAGTTTTTAATAAACATTGTAATGGGAGTATTTAACGTTTCTGGGCCCACTGTAAAATGGGGAATGATAAACCTAAAAATTGCAATAAGCATTTTACAGAGTAATTCTCTTAAAGTGGACAGAGAGAAAATGACCAACCATTCTATGCCTTCCAGTGTAAAGACTAATCATAGTGTTATTCATAAATAGTGCAGAAGAAGATGGTGTTATCTATTTATGTATGTTTCATTACAAGAAAACATTTGGCCTAGTAATGTGATGTGCAGTTAATTCCACAAGTCAATTCAGAATATCCTGGGAAAAAAAAATTTATTTCTTCTAAGTGTTTTCCATTTCAAGTTAGTTTTTTCTGCTATGCAGGAGAAGAAGGAAGGAGTAGAAGGAGAGACATCTTAGTTCTCTCTACTACATCACTTTGTACACTTCACCTATTTATTCAGCCTAATCTTTCTCGGCCTTCAAATGTCACTTATGTGTCACTTATCATCCCTAATTTAGGGTTATGGGCAGCATTAGAGAATGCAGAGCTCCAGGAAAGGTTTAAGGACTGATGACCTAATTTTCTGACTCTCATCTGCCAAAGAGACATTCTGTCATCTATTTCTCTCCATGTCTACCTCTGTCTGCCCCTGCATGTTCCATTTTATAGCTCATAGCACTTGCCCCATGCTCTTTCTTTCCCCTTTGCTTGTTATTTTTGCACCTCAAAAGCCCTCCCCACTCTGCGCATGTCTCTTATAGGCTATTTATAAATCCACCCTTCAGGTCAAATCTGTTAATTTCTTTTTGTGCAGCGGGGCTCCTTTCCCTCCACGCTTTTGCTCCTGCTCACTCAAGGGTCATGTTACCTTGAAAGCAGATTAATAGAGCACAAGGAGCAACTGGCAGAGACAGTGGGTGTGAAAACCATATAGCTACTAGAGCTTCTTGTCTTTATAAGGAAAGGAAAAGGAAGGAAGTTCTGAGAAGGCAGCAAGGAATTAAAAAAAAAAAAATGTTCAAGGCCATTACCTGTATTACAAAAGAGGAGATCTTCCAGACTGGTAATTGTAGAAATTAGGAGATCTGTATTTTTCTTCTGAGGCAGATCACAGATTGCTCTGTGCTGAGCCATATGCATGGGTGCTTATTGCTCCTCTGTCCTCACAGCTTATGTCTGTGTCTTTTATGACATGTCCAACTCATAATGGATTTAAATGAAAAATTGTTGTTACACATCTGACTCCTAAAATGCATTGAATTATTAATAGTGGTTTAGCTTCATGTGTGACTTATTCACATTTCTGAAATGCTGGAGGAAACATGCTGGAAGTCACAGAAGTAAGGTACAGAGTGATTTGGGGTTTTGATACTGCATAGTGCTGTGGTTTTGATAAAAATGACAGTGTATTCTACTGGTAAAGACTATTAGCTTGAGGCTGAATGAGATGCAGGCTGATACTTATTGTTTCCCTCAAAGTGTATCCCATGTCTCCTATTCACAAACCTGGTATTTTGGGGTATGAAGTTCCTTAATTATATGTGTTAGATAATATTTCATTTTCCTACTTATGTCACCATCCATATTCATACAAAACCCTAGCATTCTTCTAGGAATGGTCTACTATTGAAATGTCATAGAGCATTTATGAAAATATTTGTAGATTTTTTTTCCCCTTTCCGTATTTCCTGACCAATTTTCATCAATGCTTCCTCATTCAGGAGAATAAAAAGAAACCCACTAGAAACATACAGAGATAGTCTTTTTATTTGGGATCAGTGGCCTATTGTTATGATGTTGGAAAAAGAATACTCCCAGCACTGCAACTTTTTTGTCTCTTCATAAAGATGTGAAAATGAAATTTGATTCCAGGCATTCAGGCAGATTCCAAAAACTCTTTGAACAGTAGCTCTGCTATAACCTATGTTCCTGGAAAGATTTTTGTGACTGCTTGGCAAAGAAGCACTGTGTTAAATCACCTGTATAGCAAGAAAAGAAGCGCTTTGTAGTTACCCAAGGCAGCAACTAGAAATAAAATACTGTGTCAGTAGAGAAAGGGACACTACACCAGTCCCTCACTGAAAGCAGACATGCTTGCATATATGCATGGTAAATCTAGCAACAAAATGCTCTTTGAGCTTCTCTGCTGTAGAAAGCTGTGTTTGTTGCCGCATATGGGAGTAATTTTATTCTCATGACAAGTTGCATACTTTTTTAGTGACACAAACTGTGCCTGTAGACAATGAGTTGTGATAAACTAGGACTTCAGGAAAACCTTTCTAAACATCTGCCATAGAAATTGCAGTGTTCTTGTGTGTGTAGGTAGTAAGTATCTTGTGTACAGTAAGTAAGGAACTCCTGTATTTGCTATAAGCTGTTAAGAATTTAACTCTGTTTTGCATGAGCAGTACCATTATAGTAATTATTGTAATTATTATTCTGTGGGTATATATATATAAAATCAATTAACAGTTCCTGTTCTGTTGCTGCTGTGATAATTGCAGTGTACTGCTTACAGCCAGAAAGGCATGACTACCATTACAGAGCCTTTTCCCAAAGTCCTAATGTAGGAAATCTGTCTATTCAAAGTAATGGTAACCTTTCCTTTAAAAGGATTGTTGTCTATATAGTAAAATCATGATGTGGAGACATATGGGAAGAATTAACTCTGTGCTGTGAGTCACTTTTCTGGAGCAACAAATCTTCTTTTAAGTAAGGATGTATTTAGCAAAATAGCTCTTTGGTTTTGGCTGGCTATACTCTTAAAACTTCGCTGGGGAGAAAACTCAAAAATGCAAAATAGAGGAGGCTGTATTCTTCCATATAACTATCATCTTGTCCCTTAATTTGTTGCCATGACACTTTCTCCTGTTTTCTTCTTCATAATAGAGAAGCTAAGAGAAGACAGCTTTTTCATTTGAAGAGTCTTTTGTCTGGTATTCCTTGTTATGCTTTCATGTTCTTTTGTCAGACATCTGTTATCCCTTCCTAAATCACTGTAAAAAAGCTCTATAAAGCCCTATATCTGAGAGATCTGAAGGACTGCAGAAAATAGAGGATTGTCAAGGTGGCAGACAAAACTGAATCTGCAGCTAAACTATATAGAAATCTTCAGTCGTTCTTAGCAGAAAAGAATGAAGAAGAAAATTTTCTACCCAATTTTTTGATGGTGAGAAGAAAGACTCTTCTAATTTCTCACAATTGGTCTCCTAGTAAACACTATGTCACTTTATTTTGCAGTAATGTTGCATCAATAAACTCTGGATTTGGGGATAACACAGTAATAACTTTGTCTCTTAATTTGCAGTTCGTCAGCTTCACCGAGAATTCCTCAGAGCTGGATCCAATGTTCTGCAGACCTTCACCTTTTATGCCAGTGAGGACAAACTAGAGAACAGGGGCAATTATGTAGCTGAAAAAATAAGTGTGAGTAAACCAGTTTTGGAGATACAAAATAAGTTGATCAATTTCAAAAGGTTTGGCAAAGGTATTATCAAGTTTGTCCTAACAGTTTTGGCTATATTTGAGGACCAGAGAATGAGATGATGGAATTTCAGAGTTTGAAATAGCAAAAAAGCAAGGCAAAGTGACAAAAAAACCCCAAACCAAAACAACAATCAAACACAAAACAGGGAAAGGATGAAGAGAGTAAAGAGAATGCCCACAATGTATTTTTCTGTATTTTTATCTGAGGAGATGGGTTTACTGGAGTTTAGATACAAAGATTATAGGGAGTACTAAATGCACAGGGAGCAAAACTAGTGAAAAAAACAGAGATGTTTTAGCATCCAGAGAAATTACTGAATTGTAAAAATGGTGAAGAATCTTAGAGAATAATGAATAGCTAATGAGAACAAAATGTTTTTAAAACCACATCTTCATTAAGTAGCAACTAAAATAATCCAAGCTATACACTGCATTTGATATTCCCCTTCTCTTTGTGAAGGTAATTTTTTACATCAGCTGAAGTACTATGTCAGTGTTTTCTTACCCCCTACATAGAGGAATTGTAGGATTCTGTGTGTGTTTACTAGACAAAGGCTCAAAGCCTAGTGGAATTCCACTTTTCTATATAGTACTTTTGTGACTAGAATGTTTGGCATTGAGTGGTTTCTCTGATCCTGTTCCTTTGGTCCTACTGTACATTCTGTCTTCTGCAAACTAGAGAAAATTCTCCAGGGCTCAGGAAGGGAGGAATGGCTGTGTCTGTGAAGATATCCTCAGTCAGAAATTAGAACAATCTGGACACCAGGGAAACACTTGGGGCTTAATTGAGTTCATACCAAAATGTCATATGACCAAATTTATCTGAAATGCTGTACCTTTTACATTCAATAGATGCAACACTGAAATGTCTGAAGTGGTAGTCCCAGAAACACAGTAACCCTGGAACAAGCCATGCTTCAGTTCTTGCTGTCATGCAAAGTTGTAAAGGCTGGAAAGCACCTGGTATTTGAATTGCATTACATCAAACCTCTCAAAATTTATTTCCTGCCAGTTCTAGAATCAGGTTCCTCCAGGATTTAACTAATTTATGGTTCTACCTCACAGAGTCCCCAGACGTGTACCCATGCACAAGTGCAAATGGAAGACAATCTGTCAGCAACAGCTTTAAAAATCAGCTGGATTTTTTGAGGCAGCCATGTAAAACTTTAGTGGAGAGAAGATTGTGGACTTACAGACTTCTAAATAGTCTATGGACTGCAGAGAAACCTGCTATAATCTATACTTGTTAAATACCACAAATTATGATTCTTTTTCCCTGATAGTTGTTTTTTTTTTTTTTTTCTCTCAGTTTAAGCTCTTTTTGAAAAGCTGTTCTGGTCACCCCAATTTAGATATAGGAGTATGACTTCTGGTCTTGGTGATTAATTAGCAATATTTTTCCCTTTCTTTAAGTTGGCAACTTTAATATCACATAATTAATGATATTTTTTAAAATGTCTTGAATAACCCTGTATGAATATTATATCGGGGTGAGAGATGTCAATTATTAGAACACTAAAATACATTTTAAAAAAGTTTAAATTCTCATATATTAAATTCTCATATATTTCCATTCACAAATTTCATAATGAAAACATATGCTTAGGAGTAACTAACTCATTTTCTGAGATGCAAAGAAAATTCCACTTCACATCAAATACTTGGTTTTTATAGGCTATTTGTGTCAGATCTATTAAAGGTAATGTATTTTGTAGTATTTGATAATATGATAACTTAGAGAAGGCAAGAAATTATTTTCCTAATGTTTGTTACTGCTTGAAAGAATCTTATCTTTCTTATCAATCTAAAAATCCATTTGATTTTAATTACATTTAGTTTAAATTTAACAAAAATATGAAAAAGCCATTACGACTTCTGACTATTTTTGTCCTTCTAGGGTTCTGCATACCTCTGGTAAGATAAAACTAACAGATTCTGTGTTCACACAGTGCCACAAAGTGAACGAAGCTGCTTGTGACATTGCAAGAGAAGTGGCTAATGAAGGTGATGCTTTAGTGGCTGGAGGAGTCAGTCAAACACCATCTTACTTAAGCTGCAAGGATAAAACTGAGGTTAAAGCAGCCTTTCAAAAGCAGCTGGAAGTCTTTATGAAGAAGAATGTGGACTTCTTAATTGCAGAGGTAAGTCTGTAAAATAAGTACGTGCCTTCAACTGGCAAAGTGTTAACTTTTAAGATGTCTAGCCTACTTTAGGAATTATCACTACATGTTGCTACCTCCTTCAAAATTTTCTGCTGTGTTTTTATCTCAGTAGTATCAGCTATTTTTGTAAATGCCCACCAACATCTGCAGGTGTTCTAGAATAGGATCTTTCAACATCAATTTCTACCTAAGTCAAGTAAAATTCTGTACAGATACAAAGAGAAAATGTTGTTGGGATCTTGACTAATCCAATTTTTTTTCCAGTACATGGAAAGCAACCTAAGATGACTTTTCTAGTTGACTATAGGTCTTGGGTTAATCCTTGATTAATGTCCCCTGTGGGCATTCTTGCTCTGAAACAGAAGTGTGATTCTTTTTAATTTATTTTTACTCACTTTAAAAAATCCTTTTTTAACTGTGTGGCCAGTAAACACAATTGAATTATGCTAGTATAAATCAGAAAATAATTAAACCTTTGTATTGATGGTGAATTTGGGGTCTGAATAAATATTTTTATATTTCTTTGATGATAAACAAAATAGCTTAATTTCAATTTTTTTTCAGTATTTTGAACATGTTGAAGAGGCTGTGTGGGCAGTTGAAGTTCTAAAAGAATCTGGAAAGCCAGTTGCAGCTACAATGTGCATTGGTCCAGAAGGAGACATGCATGGAGTGTCCCCTGGACAATGTGCTGTCCAGCTGGTGAAGGCTGGTAAGAATCTGTTTTAATGTCCTTTGAAAGTATGTAACAAAGAAAACTCCCTAATTATTTAAATAAATAGATGTGTATGTCAAGTAGGTAGCTTCCCAGGTGTAGCTGATAGAAGTTTTGACTGTAGAAAAGTTTTTTTATGTACTTTACTAGAACAGTCTTGTGAAAACATATGGAAATACAGCTAAGAAATCCTTGATTATTGGTATAAAATGGGTAAGAGCATGTATTCATGATACTGAATACAGCAAAATCCTAAACCTACTCAAATTTCATTGCAGACCCATCCTTAAATTCTAGAATCACAAGAACAAAGCTTTGTTGGTTCTCTGCTCTTGTTTTTGCACACAGTTCAAGCTCAAGATGAGAGAATTAAGAGAATGAAAAAATTAATAATAGTACCTAGGAAAGGCTGTTTTCTACAGAACAAGGGGAAGGGGTGATATTAATCAGGTGCATGATGGGTGAAGATAAACAGGTTTACATATCTATTCTGAACTGCTCTTTTCCTTTCGAGTTACAGTTGAAATCCAAAGGTAGAACTTGTTTTAGGAACCTGCCACCTGTTTCCATATGTGGCTCTACATAATCAGACTTCACTGATTTAATCTGTAAGAAAAAACACCTATAGGAGGGTTGGAGATGTGATTCATCATTAGAAAGGTAAAGAGGAGTGCAGCTGAGATGTAAATGTCATGATCACCCTGAGAAGAATTGTGCCTGGCTGTAGCACAGCTGCCTTGTTTTTGTAGCACTGATGTGAGGATGGACAGCACTGCTTCTAGAGGGCTGTGGAACTTTCATTTCCCACTTCCTGGGGAGTTGTGACTTGAAGTTACTTTCCTCCTCCTAGGTGCTTCTATAGTTGGAGTCAACTGCCATTTTGATCCAGAAACTTCCATCGAAACCGTGAGGCTGATGAAAGAGGGCTTGCAGGCTGCTAAACTGAAAGCCCACCTGATGTGCCAGCCACTTGCTTTCCATACTCCTGACTGTGGAAAGCAGGGATTTATTGATCTTCCAGAATTTCCTTTTGGTAAGACAAGGGTATATTTCTTATAGGTGGTGTTGCTTTATTGGCTGTTCCTGGTTTTTTTTTTTGCCCCCAGATTTTAGTACAGCTGAAGCTGCAGGGTGTCCTTTTATTCAATATGATGAGTCCTAGTTATCCTGTCTGGCATTTTACAGGCAGATCAAAATGTAATATTGGAGTAAAAATCATCCACATAGGGAGAATGTTTCAGTAGTATCATGGCATGTAACTCAATGTGTAATTATGATGAAAAGAGTTAAAATGTTTACAATCTAAATTAATTTAAAAAATATTCTTCCTCATGCTATAGAACCCTGTTCAGGACTGCTGCAAACAGTCCAAAGTGCAGCAGCAAATGTAGTAAAAAACCCTCATTTTTCTAAGTTGTGATATCTATTCCAGGCCTACATTTACCTGTGTAAGGATTTAATGTACAATGCAGTACAACAGATAAAGGATCATTATTATTACACTCATAAAAGTTAAATCTTGTGTGACAGTCTAATGTATGTGACATTAAAGAGACACCAGAAAGGAGACTTTAATATTGCTAACAAATTAGCAGTTTGGAGAGGAAGTCTCCTTGTATGCTCAGGAGAAACTCTACAAAAACTGAAAGAGTCAGCCATTTAATATTTATATAAGGCTTGTGTATTTAGGTCTTTTCATGTGAGTATTTTGCCCTGTAACATAGGGGCAAACTCAGCTTAAACATTTTAAGGCTGATTAGAAAATTCTTTCATTTTCAGATAACATATACCCTTCTTTTCAATATCAGAATAAATGGTCCGAAAACGTTCACAATTTGAATTTGCAGCAAAAAAAACCTGAGAAGTAGATGTGATTTTCAGGAGGCTTGTTGTTTTTCTCTAAATTTCTCTCTTTACATAAATGAAGGAAAGAGAATAAAGCATAAGCCTGGGGCATTCATTAAATGGTAATAACACGTCTGAGTCCTGAAAATATCTAAGATGTTTAAAAGTGTAAGGAACTCATTTATCCTATTCATTACTTCATATAGTTCCTCTGATTGCAAGCAGGAAAAAAAAAACCAAACAGATGCAGTGAGCAATCAAGTGAAAGGAAGGATTCACTCTGGTTTGTTATGGTTCTTGGCTTGTGTGCTATAAGCAATCTGTATGACATCTCAGCATTTAGAATTTCCATGAATAATTAATTGGTGAAGACCGGCTCTGTGAGTGTTTTCAAAACCCAAAAGTAGCAATTGATTGCTTGACAGCAGATAATCTGTTTAGTAAATCATTATTAAACTGACCAAATTACCTGGTTTTCATGAAGACAATAACAAAGAGATATTTAGATATCTGAAGAGTACATATACTCTCTGCAATAAGATAAGGGAAATAAGATCTAAGTTTCTAAGGAAGCATTAGGTCTGTTGTATTGACAAACTCCAGCAATTAGATGCCAGAAAGATTTATTTTTCTCTAGAGCTTTTTCTATGTTTTCTCTTCTGTTTTACTGCAATTTCTCTGAAATGTCACAAGTTAAATAAGGACAATAGTTTAGAAAGAAATTACCTGGTCACTGAAAGCATACCAAATTATCTCAAGGGTAGATATATTGAGGGGGCAAACCTAGATATATGAGGGGGCAAGCACATTACAGTTTTTCTGCATCAAGAACTGTTAAGTTAGAGATATTTAATTCTGAATAAAGCCAAGAAAAGTATTGCATTGACAGATGTGGAAAAAATAAATAAAATGTTAGTCAGTTTTGGGAAGGTGTCTCTCCACCTTAAAGACAAGGATGTTGTGTGGGACAGTATCAAGTGCTTTGTGGAAGTCCAGGAAGGTGACCTTCATCACTCTTCTCTACCAATGGTGTAACCCCATCATAGGAGGCCACCAAGTTTGTAGGCACAGTTTGCCCTCAGTAAAGTCATGTTGGCTGCCACCAATCACATCCTCATTTTCCGTGTGCCGTAGTACAGATTCCAGGGGATTTGATCCAAGGTTTTTCTCAACATTTTAAGACTGACTGGTCTCTCTTTCTCTGGCTTTTCCCTTTTTGCCTTTTTAAAAGTGTGAGTAATGTTTCCCCTTCTCCAGTCACTAGGAACTTCACTGGACTGTCACAACTTTTCAAATATGATGGACAGTGGCTTAGCCACTTCATCTGCCATCAGATCAATGCATCTCATCAGGTCACATGGATTGTGACAGGGTGATGGAGATGACAGGGAAACAACCTATACTGTTCCCCTGACGCTTCGTTGCTTATACAGGTGTAAGCTGAGTGCACAATGATGCATTCTTGCTGTTGATCATTTGTATAAATTTTGCATTTGCTTTTAAATGATATATGAAAAAGAAGAAATAATGCATTTGTGCTTCTGATGCTTTCTATCACAACTGCAGCACTGTACAAAAGCTTGTTTTTATTTGAAAAGCTTTCTAAAATGGTTAATCACAGTTTTCCATGCCATATTAGTCCACCTACTTTTCCTTTGTTGCATCTTTCCCTCTGAGACAAATAATTTTCTGCATAAGAATCTTTAATTGTCACCCTTCTGATTTTTTTATTTGTAAACCTGATTCTTAACTACAAAATGGACTTAGGGTATATCTGCTTAGTATCAGCTTCTTCGTTTTGGGACAGGACATGGGGAAATCCTTCAATCCTACTCTCTTTTGTGTTGCTGGAGCCTTACTACCTCAACCACAGCTTCTTTGCTCAGCAGTGTTCAGTGCACAGACATGATGCTGCACTTAACTGATAACCATGCTGTTTCACATCCTGCAGATGTGCATATGCATTAAGAAGTGGGAGGATTTTTGTTCTTTTATTTCTGTACTTTCATTTCTTAAAGTTTCTTCTTCAGTCCCCATTCTTTTCCTTCCAGTTATGCCACTTTTATGCCTCCCGCTCCTTGAGGTGTGCTTGTCCTTGCTCTTTTCACTTTTTACTCCTTTCCTTCCACAAGTCTACTCTCTCAACCCTTGTTATTCCATCACAATGCTCAACAAAACTTACAACAGAGATGGCATTCTAACTTACCTACACACAGGACTTTCCACAAGGAATGAGGTGCTTCGAGGCAACAAGCTGCTCATGACTGGGATTATAACTAAGGGTTGGGCTAAGAAATAGCTACGATCCCAGCTGAAACAACTGGCTGCCAATATCCGATTGTGGAAAAAGGTGTAATAAACATTTCTGAGGAATAATGAGCAGGATTATTCCTATGCCAGTAGGCTCATACCTTCTCCTTTCACAGCTCACCATGTGGTCATCAGTTTTCCCAGGTATTGACTATTAGGAAATGTAGCCATAACATTGAAATTATTCCAATTCTTCAGCTAAGAACTCTGCAGAATTGGAAACATGATCAGCCTCAGAAGATACTAGGTGCTGTTTTGCCAAGCCAAGCAAGCTTACAAGCACAGATCAGCGAAGCACTACAGAATCTGAAAGCTAGCCTTCTAAAAGTTTCAATCACTGATTCTAGGTCAGACAGCTCAAACACATACATCTACATCTACAATCGCTTTTGCAAACAAAGTGCAAGTCTTTCAACAACATGATTTCTTAGCAAAAAAATGGATAAAAATTGCATGGGCCATGGTGGAAAACTTAAGATATGAATGTCTTTGCAGGTCTGGAGCCAAGAATTGCCACCAGATGGGACATTCAAATATATGCAAGAAAAGCATACGACTTAGGAATTCGTTTCATTGGAGGCTGCTGTGGATTTGAGCCATATCATATCCGAGCAATAGCTGAGGAGTTGGCTCCTGAAAGAGGATTTTTGCCAGAAGCTTCTGAGAAACATGGTAGCTGGGGTGATAACCTGAGCATGCATACCAAACCCTGGGTCAGAGCAAGGTATGTTTATCTGACCTGGAAACCAACACACCTTTTGTAAAGGCTTACATTGCTCCACAGAGCACACTGGCTTAGTTGATATGGGCATCTAAATATCACTGTAAACATTTTATGTTTAGAATTATATGTCTTATGTTTAATCTCCAAGAATTAAAGCTGACCTAAGAACAGGGAATGGGGTGAAGGAGAAGTAGAGGAGATCCTGTGAATGTAATTCATGACAATGAAAAGGAGAATATTGTATCAGCTCCTAAACGTGCCTTGCTTACAGTATTCCTTTGAAGATGGAACCATACTTTTAAAGCATGTAGCATTTAATTGCATATTTTCATTCATACTTCTATATATAAATATATTGTCCATCTTTACAGGTTAGATGACCCTTTGCAATTGTCATTTAAGTCACATTTCCTTCAATATTATGAGGTGCTGGGAAAAAAACCCCTGAATTTCTTTTTCTTTATTTAGGGCAAGAAAAGAATACTGGGAGAATCTGAAGCCTGCTTCCGGCAGGCCATATTGTCCTTGCATGTCAAAGCCAGATGGCTGGGGGGTGACCAGAGGAGCCAAGGAGCTGATGCAACAGAAAGAAGCAACAACTGAACAACAGCTGAAGGAGCTCTTTCAGAAAAAGAAGTTCTAATCTGCAGTTATATAAATCTTAAAATGATTTATTTACAGACCAACTCATGATCTTAAAGGTCCCTTCCAACCTAGAAATTCTGTGATTCTATGTTTCAGAAGAAAATCTGTGAAGATGAGAACTGTATTGATTAATCAGTTAAAATGTAAGGAAAGAGACAAAATGAAGAAAAAAATGTGATTACATAGTAAACATGTCTAACTTTGATAACAAAATCCTTCTCTGAATGAATAGTTTAGAGAATACACAGTCAAAAGTAATTTTGGATTTTCATAATAATTGAGCTTCTGTTAGCTGAGTGCCATTAATTCGGTAGACACAGAACTGCCTGGAAAGTAATGACTGGCTCAACTCACCTGTGAAAAAAGAAAAAGCCATCTATAAATACAGTGTCAATGGACTTCAGCTCCCAAGTCTGTTTTCAGTTTGGTATTATAGGAGCTTCATCTGACCTCAAGATTTGCTGAGAACTAGTGCAGGAACACACAAACTGCCAATTATTTGTGGTCACTTTCTTGGTTTCATGAGAACAAGAGTAAACTAAAAAAAAATATATATATATATATATAAAATATATATATAATTGTAATCAAAATGTAAGAAAAATGAGATCTTGCAGGAATTTCTTACATGCGGAGAGCTTTTAGAAGAGAAAATGGCAGATAGGTAACTCAGTTTTTGTCTTAAGGTACCATGTACACAAGATTTACTCTTCTGGGGATTAAAAGGCTTAAGGAATTACTCTGCAATCTAAAGAAATGTCAAATAAATTAAAAATGTTATAATGAAATAGTACTGTTTTATCTTCACACCTTAAATTGTAAAACCTCAAAAAATATATTGTATCTGCAGTAAAAAACTAATTTTCAAACGATGCAACTGATTTCTGGATATCTCACTTTAATTACTTCGTTATGTTAAAACAGCAGGTTTCTAAGATATAACTCCTGTTTAAAAGAGTAGTACAACATCCTTTTTTTTTTAGCTGATCGATCCATTCTGCAATTTTAGTTTCAACAAATGAAAAACTCTGTTAGGAAATAGATTCATCCACTTAAGTTAAGAAAACCCATGTAATTTGTACAATGGTTTGTTTTCAAATAAGATAAGGTTTTCATAGGAAGGGTACCACTATATTTAGAACTTGTAAAGCACACATTTCCATCATTTATTTTTGTGAAGTACCATACAATTCAATTTCTGTTTAGAATGAATTTTCACCCGTCCTACATTAAGGCAACTACCTTTATGAAAATCTCATTCTCACAGTTAGTGTTGAAAGATGTAGTTGGACTACTTTTTATGTATAAGCTTGTTTCCTTGTTTCTATCCATGCTGGTATTCTGCAGTTCAGGAAACACTTACATATGCAATAAGAAACTTCATGCATCCTTGTCAGACTGTTATTGGCAGACAGGTTTAAACCTGCCTTCCCCAGTCTTAAAACGGATTAAAATACCTACTAGCTGGAAATTTTGCCTGAAAGACAAAAGCAGACAAATCAAGAAACTAGATATTTTAAAATGCAGATTATTTGGAAAACGTCAATGTAACTATATATACTTTATATGCTTTATAAACGCCTTTTCTTCCTAAGTGATTCTCAAAATTACCTCTGCAGAGAGTGGAATATTGCAAAATCTGTAAAACAGGAATGGCAGATCTTTGATCATCATCAAAATGCATGTAGCATTAAGAACATATGCATGATTAGACAGCTTAAAACAAAGGCTACAACCAGTGCACAAGTGTTTTGAACAATTATTACCCATTTAGGGACTTCTTGCATAGAATGCTGTTTGACCATCATACACTATCTATACAAGTAGCTGGGCTGATTTTTTGGAAACTGTCATAATGTGCAAAAATTTGTATTGAAATGAATGACTTCACAACACAGAATACTGAAGAACCTGGTATTTATGAATATATTATTTTGAATTTTTTAAAATTTTATCCAGTCTGAAAAGGTTGAATTTAACACATGATTAGAAATACTTAAAGGCCATTTAAAGACAAGGAAAATGAGAGCTGGCCCAAGAGCAGGGTGAAACAAATATTCCCTGCTTTATTCATATCACAGGCTGGGTTTATAAAGGAAATTCCAGTGGGATGGAAACAACTTCAGGGTGCTTTATTGGTCACTGATAAACCCAATCTATTAAGAAAACCCAAACTCCACCTAAAAAAATCCAACAGCACCGTCCTCAAAAAACCATCCTAAACCCAAAAAACCACCATCCAGCAAAGCCAACCAAGCTACCAAGCTTTCTTTCCCATTTCTTTCTGTGTAACAACGTAGGTATAAGGAAACTGTTAGATTTCCACATGTTTCTAATGAATAGTTACATTACTTGTTAAGGAAATAAGAAAAGCCAACAGCACAGTCCTAGGAAATGTGGTTCCCTGGAAAGCCTTTTTGAAAACTTTAGGAAGTAAAAGGGGATTTAGAGGGCTAGCTCCTGTATTCAGTGCCCTAAGGATCATTTATTTGTAGGACAAGGTGTTTGCTGAACCTGTTTGGAAATAAATCTAATGTAACTTCCATGACAACACCAGCTTAGTTAATGTGTACAATCACAGAAACACTAAATATTTGGAGTTGGAAGAGACCCACAAGGATTGTGTTTGGTTACTTCACTCTTTACAAATTTTTCCGCATTTGAATATTCCTTGATGGAATTTATTCTTTATTATTTTTTATTGTTTTTCTCCATTATTTCTTTACAGCACATTAAAGACATGAAGACATGAAGAATTTCTTCCTTTGCTAAAATTTGAAGATTTACATACATTCCTTGTTTCTCTCTCAATCAAACATACCCTGTTCATTCATTCTTCCCTCCGAGTCTGTGATTTATCATATACCCAGAAATTACCTCTGTGAGCTCTTAATCCAGACCTTGATATCTCCTACAGATCCAGAAATGAAAAGCTAAAGTCTTTGACTTTCTGAAATCTAAAGAACAAATCTTGATCATGACACTGAATGTCAGACAATAGGGACCTGAACAAACCATAAACTTCAGAAACTACTAGCTATCTGCACTATATATTAGGAGATGGCTATATATTTAGTAAGCTCTAAAGTTTCCAAGAATTTAATGAAAAACAAGGCCTAAAAACCTGCTGTGTAATGATCAGGTGTTGGTCTGATTTATCTGTAAACGACAAAAATGCAAGGAGGGTTTTGTAAAGAAGGAAAATTGGGAGTTAGTAACAAAACACACATTTTTTTGCAGAAAGCACAGCTTTTTCCCCCTGCTCTTTTGAAAAGAAAGTTTTCTAAGACTCCTGTTAAATCTGACATCTTCAGGTACCACAGATTTCTTCCTAAAGCAGTTTATGGCTCCACCTTATCTTTCAACTCCATTCACAAATTCAATGGTAGGTTCAGTGACATTTTTAAAATCTAAACATCTAAAGAAGTGGATTCATGTATCTGTCTTGTTCTGCTCCACTGACTTAAAAAAATCTTGAACATGAACTAATCTACTTTAATCCGGCATTTAATTAAGTATAGACACCAGTGAAATAGTATGGGCAGAATATTATGGTAAAATACATTATTTCAGCAGCTTGCTCTGTTACAAAGTTCTTTGTTACCTTTTTCTTATGTTCCACTTTATTCAGATGCATGGTATTTGACCTAAATTTCATTAAATCATGATATTGAATCTTGCCAGTGGTGTGTACTTCTTCATGTACAACTCCTGAGACAGACAGCGATCAATTATATCCATACATTAGGAATCTGAAGATGGACTTTCCATATATTTTAGTCAACTAGACCTCAGAGCTTCTGTATCTAGTAAAGTTGTGTGTCTGAAAGAAAAACAACTTTGGGTAATAGGACTTGATGCTATCAGAGTGGAGAGTAAGAATTTCAAAGCAGATTGAGAAATGTATGTTTGGAATGGGGAGAAGTATGACTTACAACTGACAAAGCAACAGCAAACATGCATCAATCAAACTAAGCTTTACAAGCGTTACCGGTTGTCGCTGGGTGGTTCAAGAATGTTTTGTGGCAGTCATTTGCAAATATTTGCATGTTATTGTTTCTGTGCAATTGAACAAAGAGATCAAGTGGCAACTGTAACACTAGAAGGAAGTTCCATGATCCATTTTTATTTATAATCCGTCAGTCCAATAATCAATCAATCAATCAATCAATCAAACAAACAAAAAATATGTCAGTTCTACTCAAGAGAAAAAACAACAATACTTTAGGTCATGCTTTAGGTCAAGAAGTGCTATTTTTCTGCTCCATACAGGAAATTTTGCATGTTCTTTTCAGCTATGTCAACTGTTATGCTGGAATATCCTGCTGGCTCCTTCTACAAAGGTTTTCATAAAAAAGCACTTCACAGGAGCATCACAGTATTACAGACCCATGGAAAAGCAAAGATGTATCCAGTGAAGGCAAAGGTGGTTTTTTTTTTTTTTTAAATCATGCTTTCCAGTATATAATTTTTTTTCCAGATTTTTTCTCTATGATGAAATCTCAGAAAATTGGACTTCACAAGCAGAGGCCTGAAGCAACCTGTGCCAACACTGCCTCCAGGTGGCTCTGTGCACGGCTACAGCACTCAGAGGGGGAGCCTCTAATGGCTTCTCAGATCTGCACACATGGACAGAAACCAGAAGAGCTGCTAATTCCAATTTAATTTCAGAACAGGCTTAATTACATCTGTATTTGCTACTTAACAAGGAAGTGTCTTCTTTACAAGAACTGTAAAAGCTAATTAAGTCTCCAATTGTGCAACATTTTAATATTATTTTTCTTCCTGAATAAAAGGACTGACTGGACTAAAGCTTTTCCTTGAAAATGGCCAGGTCTGCTCTCTTCTTAAAAAAAACCCCAAATTATATACAGTGTAGACAACCATTTTCAATTACAGAGAATGGACAAAGGACAGAAAGGTTGGAACAGGGACAGAACAGAGGCAAAGAGGCACTGTGTGCAATATTACATGACATACAGCACTGCATCTACCCGCCACAACCAGGCAAAATTTAGATGTGATAGGCATGAAGATCCAGTGTCCTCTACAGACACTGCTTTCTGCAAGGGCAGACCTTGAAAGGTTTCTCTCTGTTATTTTGGCAAGACTGCCCCATAACTGAACAGCAAATCGAGGCTATATTCTTTAAATCTTCTGTTTTTACTAATGCTTCTATTCATATGAGAATTCTTGTCTCAGACAAATCATTGTTATTCCACCCTACTTTCATACTGCTACACCTATGTTTAATGTGACTGGTTCTGCTGGTTCTTCTAGGCAGACAGGACTCTTA